TCTAATATTTAGGTTAAAAAGGCAAAAGGTTATTCATAATGTATGTTGTGTGCGTGCATGCAAGCCTGCGTGTGTCTGTGTGCTTTGGGCATGTAATATACCATTACCTATCACAACATCCCATACCACTTGAGGATACTACAATACTGTTTAGTAATGACATAACCTTTTAGTTATGACAGCTGTGTTCATCTCCCCGTTTGTTTATGTGTGTGTATGTGTGCGTGTATGTGCATATCCTTGAAAGGTCATGCATGAAGTTCAACCTTAACGCCTCCACTCCACCCGATCATTCACTTATCGCCCACTACAGTTGATATTTAATTTATGACCACCCTATAGACAGACTACTTATAATCTGATTAAGTAGACATATATATGCACGTACAATTTAGGTTAGCCTATGCCTTTTATTCCACTCAGTCATTCAATTTCCCTGAATTCATTCACTAAAAACGATTTCGCCTTGTCTTGATTTTCGTGCAAACGGGGAAGAATTCCAAGTAAATAAGTAAATAAATAAATAAATAATCGCAATATTACAGAAAATAAAAAGAATAGAAGTAAACGAACATGGCTACTAATGAATTCATGCTGAAAAGTGGTTATGTGGCTACATGTCTGTATTGGTGTGTGTATGTTTGTGTGTTTGTGTTCAAATGTGCATTCACGAGGTATTATTGAATAAAGATTTAACAGTATTAAGTTATATAAATACCATTATAAGCACTTAGACAATTTGTGGAATGCAGTAGAAAACAAGTGTGTTAATTTTACAATATATCTATCATGATCAAGTTAATATATGTGTAAAACTTGGATTTCATCATGACCTGACTTTGGTTAGAGATCCATTGGAAAAGCTGCGAGTACTGGACAGTTGTTTCGTCCTAGTTTAGGACTCTTCATCAGTACGTACCCACCGGGATTCGAACCCAGGACCTTCTGGTTACAAGGCGAGCTCGTAGACCATTAAGCCACTGGGACCCGATCCAATGGCCCATGAATTCCTACTTCTGCCAATTCACGACAAAGCGCGACCACTAGCCAATGTTTTCGGCGAGTATTTGTCCTCACACCCGACTTGCTGCACCCTACTGGTCACGACTACCCACTGGAACCCCAGGTAACTACCAACCTGAATAGGGCAAGTCGCTAGTGAGCATCTCTTCGATATTCAGGTGTTGGATTGTAGGGATTTGATTGGTTATAGGATTTCATCATGAGCTGACATTGGTTAATGGTCTACGAGCTCGCCTTGTAACTGGAAGGTCCTGGGTTCGAACTCTGGTGAGTCCCAAACTAGGACGGAGTAGCTGTCCAGTACTCCCAGGTTTTCCAATGGTTCCCTTACCAATATCAGCTCATGATGAAATCCTGTAACCAATCAAATCCCACTTGAATTCCATATTAGTTTGTTTATTAGATGTATCACACAAACAGTGAAACAGCATTATTATTTACCGGACAGAGATGTACGTCTGACGCCCTATGTTCCTCTAGGAACTAAAGGAAACAATAATATTGATAATAATAACAATATCACACTAAAACCTGCGCTAAAGGGATGTTTTCTAGAAGGTGAACTATAAAAGCGTCTCATTGAAATAAGTCAGCTCAAAGAACACAATTTAATACAAACCATCCACCTGAGGAGCTACTAATCTCCCCCCAACATACTTTATGGTGGAGGGGGGCTGAACGTTTCAATCTCTATGTTTTCCCACCTATCCATAAATATATCTGCCACAACCGGGGATATTGGTGACCTCATGGCAACTCCCTCAGTTTGTTTGTAATATGATTGACAATGAAGAAAATAAAGTAATTACAAGAACAGTGATCAAGAAAGATACTCATCGTCAGTTAGAGCTATCCCATGAACTACAGAGATTCAACTCACTCATTTAATTAATCACTATTTCCTACGACAAATACTTACATTCACTGGCTTTAGAAAGTGATATCATTTCATTACATGGTGACTCTTTAGTTCAGAAATTGTTCAATAGACTGCTGGTACACTTAATTAGAAAACAAAGCTTACTATGCTGTCTACATCACTGATTATATGGCAAACTTGGTATGTGACTTCTGGATCAATAAATGTACGAATAACTAGCCACATTCTTGTGACATTGTGGTGACAAATTCGTACACACACAGTCTTAGGTTAAGTGGGCCACAACTTGTCAAACTTGGCAAATAGAAGGAAGCGCAGGTTAGATAAAATTGGATACTGAACATACGAGAGAGAAGTGCCTCAAACCCACAACAACCTCACTGAACAGCTCCATGATGGTGCTACATATGCCAGGTGATTCACAAGGGAAAATTCAGTTTGGCATCTGAAGTAAAGACTGGGGCAAGATAACACTACCTCCTATCACCTATGAAATTCTTGATTATGATGGACTGGATCCGGCGGCAGATCCCAGGGAAAGACAAGACAGGAAAAAGTCGCATCGATAAGAAGACTCTGTAAGATGTGGACTGTAAGGGATGTGTTGTATCTAATGTCACTCAAACTAGAATATCTTCAGGTGAATACCAAAAAACTGTCAAAAGAAGCAGGCAGAGAAGACAGGACTTCAAGTGAACATACAGAAGATGGAGGTGATGAAAGCAACCAAACAACAATAATCAGTTAAAATCACTATCAATGAAAGAAGTTTGAATGATCGGCAGTACGCATCCACAGGGGGCCAAACACGGGACCCTTAGGTTATAAGGCGAGCTCGAATGCCATTCAACCACTGGGAGCCGGTTCAATAGCCAGCTCATAAAATTCTAACTTCTACCGATTCGTGATTTAGCGTGACTGGCGCCAACCAATGTCATCGGTGGGAAATCCATCCTCGCACTTGACTGGTTGGACCTCACAGGTCACGACTTCTCAATAGAACTTCAGGAAACTCTGTCCTGTAGCAGGTCATTAGCTGAATGGTATATGAGCTTGCATTGCAACCGGAAGGTCCTGGGTTGGAGCCCCAGTGGATGCCTACTGCCGATAAATCCTAAACTAGGATGAAACAGCTGTCCATTACTCCCCCCAGCTGGTTTTCAGTGATTCTCTAACCGATATCAATCCGTAGTCAAACTCGTAAAAAAATCTAATTCGTAAAGACCAACTCTTAAAAATTTGAATCAGGTTACTTCCTTCACTTATCCAGGCATCTGGCATCGTTTCAACTATTGGCGGTACGGATGAAGATACCGAAGGTAGAATCAGAAAGGCAGGGTACGCCTTCATCAGCCTGAAACCAGTTTGAAAATCTTCTGCACTCAGTATAAATAAAAAAATTCGGATTTGCCACACTAATACTAAGTCAGCTGTTAATGGGTCAGGAAACTGACACATCACTAACAGCATTTCCAACAGCCTGCTGGAGACTTTTATCAAAAGTTGCTCCCTTCGCTAGCTCCACACTGAAGATCAAATGGCCAGTTAGAAAGAATTAGAAACAGAAAATTCTGTGGAGAAACCAACCAAGAATCTATGGCTCAAGAAATATTCCAAAGGAAATGCATATGTACCGGACACATGTTGAGGAGATCACTGGAGGGCATATCGCATCACAAGAGCGTCTGAGGGGAACCCGAAGGGGAAACGACAAAAGAATCTGAAAGCTCACAGGGAATTGTGCAGACAACTAAGGAAGACTGCAGGGAACACGATGAAATGGAGATGTTCCGTTGAAACCACATGTCCCACCATTCGGAATCCAGGGACCCTTAGTGGTGCAGACAGAATAACTCCACTAACTGATTAACCATTCCTGCTACACCAGTCAAAAACAGTATATTTCAAAATGCTTGGAACTATCACATTATTCCACTCAAAAAAGGTGATTCAATTGTACACCTGAGCAATGAACTCAATTTATCACTGCAATAATTTACATGGTATAACTAAACAAAGGCGTTTGGAGTAAACGCAGGAGTCAGACAAGGGTGCTTATTATCACCAATGATATTCCTAATTGTGGTGGAATGGATTATGCATCAGACAGTGAGAAACGAGAAGATAGGGATATCCTATACCGATGTGAAGAACCTAGAAGACCTGGATTTCGTGGATGATTTATGTTTGATGTCACACAAAATCGAAGACTTACAGGCGAAAACCAAGAAACTGGTCAAAGAAGCAGCAAAGACAGGACTCCAGGTGTACATAGACAAGACGGAGGTTATGAAAATAAACAACCAACAACAACAACAGCAGCAGCAACATCCAGCGCCAATTACCAACTACGGGAGGGACTTGAAAGAGGTTACTTCTTTCACTTATCTAGGGAGCATTGTCTCAACTACAGGAGGAACGGATGAAGATGTCAAATCGAGAATCGGGGAGGCGAGAAACACATTCATCAACCTGAAACCAATCTGGAAATCTTCTTCACTCAGCATCAACAACAAAATTCGGATTTTCAACACAAACGTCAAGTCAGTTTTGCTATACGGATCAGAAACTTGGCGGGTTACAAAGAATATTTCCAACAGCCTGTTGCAGACCTTTATCAACAACTGTATTCGCTCTATACTGAAGATCAGATGGCCGGAAAGAATCACCAACAAGAAACTATGGGAAGAAACAAAACAAGAACCAATCGCTCAACAAATATGCAGGAGAAAGTGGAGATGGATTGGACACTCACTGAGGAGGCTGCTGGGTGACATCGCGCGTCAGGACAGTGCTCGAGCGGAACCCGAAAGGGAAGCGGCGAGTGGGACTTCCAAGGGTGACATGGAGGAGATCGTGTGAAGAAGAGTTGAAACAGTATGAATTAACATGGATGCAGGTGAAAAGTACAGCAGAAGACAGAAGACAGTGAAGACGTGTAGTTGAAGCCCTATGTTCCACTAGAAACCCAAGGGGACAATAATAATAATATACATGTTGAAACGATTTGGTTGGGGACGGAGATTAAGTGGACTAGTACTTCTACACATGTTTACACACATATATATTCAGGACTATAAACAGAAAGATCACTTACCGATCAGCAACAGGTTTTGTATAATTTCTTTCTAATACGCCTATAAATATTGGAATTTTTTGTAAATAATCCAGATAACGTGTATAAATTTCATAGTCTGAATTAAAGTTCACATATGTTTCATCGAAATAAGCACTCAGCAGACCAGACCAATCGTAAGCATTTCCATTGACGCTCAGTTCACTAAGTTTTGCCTTCTTTGACCATTTCGATGGTGTTGTACTTCGATAAAGCTGAAGATTAAAAGAGAGAATGATGAGGAGAAATGTGGGGAAGGTGAAAAAAGGGAACAGGAAACATCTAAAAGTGAAGCAAAATCAAAACTTGGTAAAACGTAAGTTCATTATTGTAAAAGGTGTTTTGCATTTCCCAATGAATGAAAAGACAAAACGATAATGTTGTTGTTTTGACTGATGTTTCGCCGCTATTTAATGATGCTAAGAGCTTTATCAAAGTTTTATTAAACCAGAATTTACAAAATCTCAGCTCAGGCATACAGTAACTTAATCACACTTCTTCAGCATGAGGCAATTTTCACATTGTCAAGTCTGTATCTAAAAGAAATACGTCCAACCCTTGTCCCTGCCTGTCTTGGCCATCATAAACAGGTAATTCTTCTAATAGTGACTATCCCATTGACTTTCTTATCTAAACTTCCTGTTTATTCATGTTATTTTTAGGTTTTTCTTAATCCCTATTTAGACTACCATATTTGCATATCCAAACTGCATGTCTATTTTATCATTTTATTATTTCTACATATTTAATCCCTACCTGCTTAAACCATTATTCGTCACATTAGTCATGGTCCCACTAGACTTATTATCCCAACATCCTGTCTACTTTTTGTTATTTCTACATTTCCAACCGCCGATTGCACAATATGTCAATCTTCTCAGTAATTATGATGCTACTTTGTTTGAATTTTATCCGCTGTCCTCTGTTTATTATGACATTTTAATTCTTAATTGTAATTTTATTAATTTGACTCTTGACCGGAAATTATTCTGGAACTTTCTCACACATTTAACATAAATACACGAATGTACAGCCTAGTTGATAATTTCGTCGGAAAGAACATTTTCTTCGCCACAATCATTTTTCTAATAATTCCTATGATCCAGTGTGTATATTCCGTAATTGTCAAGTTTTCCAGTTGGTAAAGATAACAGAACCACGTTTAGATTGTTGGACCTGACAAGTGTATGAAATTATTAGAACAGCCTGTGTTTACATAATGAAATCGCTTATCACATTTGTGTTGATTCTGTCACTTCATGGATGGAAGTTGGGTAGTCGGAACCAGGTGAAATTCTGTCTTAGTCCATCGTCATTCCTATTCAGAACATTTGGATTCCATTTATTATGAAGGACCTCTAATATTAGACGTTCTTTGTGATTTCTGAAATGCTTTTTCTGGATTATTATTTCAATATTGTCAAAATCAATTTTGTGGCCTGATTCTACTATATCGTGTAGACCACTTATAGATGATGATTTGTCAAGCTTTCCTAGTTCGGAAATGGATTTCTCGGTGGTCGAATAGATGTTCTACAGTGTTCATTTCTTCTGATCTTGATTTCTCTCTGGAGATGTTTGTCCAGTGTATATCGCATCACATACAATCCAAACATTTTATTTTTTAAAGACAATTGGATTGAGAATCCGTTGTAATTCTGTCATGCACATGGATAAGGTTGCTTTATAGTGTGTGTGTGCGTGTGATGTTTTGAAGACAACTCTGATGTTATGTGTTTATTGAGGATTCTTCTGATATCTGTCGTTTAACGTTTCTAATGTATATGGAATGTCAAATGTTTACGTGCATGTCTTCGCAAATATGTTTTCGATTACATTTAATGTCAGTGTTGAATTTCTGATTAAATATGACTCCTTTGATAAAGCTCTTAACAACATTAAATAGCGAAACGTCAGTCAAAAACAACAACAGTATCGTTTTGTCATTTCCTTTCAATGGGAAAACCAAAAGACCCTTTCTAATAATGAATATCGCATATACCCAATGCTGAAATGTTTTTTCTCAAACTGGACATATATAAAGCGTAATTTATCTAGATCGATCGAGAGGTGATTTGGAAACTACGTCGCTACTACTAACAAGGGGTGCCGACAACAATTATACATCTCATCCACTAGGTCTACGACAATTCTGCATACCAAGTAATCCACAACGGGAAACTCACGGAATCCTTCGAAGAAGTGAAGACGGGAAGAAGACAAGGTTGCCTACTATCTCCAATGATCTTCCTGTTTGCGGACTGTAGACTGGATAATGCGACAGATAGCGGGTAGTGAGAAAACGAGCATAAAATGGACCAACACAGAAAACTTGGGGGATATTGACCTCGCCAATAACATAGATATGTCTTATTTCCCACAAACTGGAAGATATGCAAGTGAAAAGCAACAAGCTGGCGGTAGAAGAAGCATCCAGAGAAGATAGGCGTACAGGTGAACATAGAGAAAACAGAGGTAGGTGATGAAGATTCCTGGTCAACAGCAACACCAACAGACAAACATTCACATAAATGGGAGGTGTCTGGAAAAAGGAAACTTCTTCACCTACCCACCTACCCGGGAAGCATCGTTTTAACTACAGGCGGACAGTACTGATGAGGATATCAAAGCGGAGGATCGCGAAAGCAATGCAAGCTTTCACTATTCTCAAGTCTGTGTGGAGATCAGCAGCACTCAGCATGAAAATGAAAATAAAAACCGGATTTTCACCTTCAATGTGAAGTCAGTGCTACTTGGCGCCGCGCCGTATCACGAAGGGCACTTAGAACAAACTACAGACCTTCAATAACAGCTGTCTTGGCTCAGTACTACTCAAGATCAAATGGCCAGAAAAGTTCACCAGCAGGGATCTCTGGCAATGAGTGAACCAACTCAACAGGAACCAACTGCTCAAGAAATATGCAAGAATAAATGGAGGTGGATTGACCATATTCTGAGGAAACCACCGACTGACCTCACACGCCAGGCCATCTCTCGAGTGGAACCCGAATGGAAAGCGGCGAGTTGGTCGTGTGTGACAGTGAGGTGACATGGAGCAGGAGGTGATGTGAAGTGGAGATGAAGACATGTGGGCAGATGTGGATCCGGGTGATGGAAGCGTTGCAAGAGAAGCGAACTCGATGGAGACGTGTGGCTGAAGCCTTATGTTCCTCTAGGAACTAAAGCAAAAAATAATAATTTATCTAAATGACGGTAAACAAGAAGTCTATAAAATAACCATGGGCAACACACAATAGAGACAGAATAATGGCGAAGTATTTAACTATGTCTTGTATTCAGTTCACTCTAAAAATATCATCACTTAATGGATTTCTATGCAATAATGACGTAATCTAATTTGAATTGTTTTAAACAACGCAGATAATTGCATCATATACATGTGCATGTTTCAGTTATCCTCATTTTACTATATAGAATAAAAAAAGTATTACAGGTGTTCCGATACTATTTTCGAAATTTACCTTTTTATTGAACATTGAAGTAAAGAAAAACAGGGACAGTTCAATGTACAATAAATTAACAGGTGTTTAAAAATTTGTTCAGTTCGTCTAGTTTTGCTTCTTCTTCTCTTTTCTACTTTATTGTTATTCAAAAAAAGTTGAAAAAGGGAGCCATGTGTTGTTATTCGTTTGTTAGTTGAAACAAACAGACGAAGAAAATATGCCGAAAGAGATCTCGACGACGGGGGGAAAGGGTTAAGAAGAGAAGAGGGGAGAAGAGAAGGGAGAAAGACAACCGACCGATGTTTATTCCTGTTTGCTACACATTCCTCGAGAATCATTTCGACTACGAGGTAGAGGGGGAGGCCGAGAAGGAGGAGGCATATCATGATTCAAATTAAAGTTAAATGTTTTATGTTCTGTGTCAACTGTAGAAGACAAGATAAACAGAAAAAAAGAAGAGGAGAATATAATAATGATAATAAATCCTAATAATTAGCTCTATTTTAAGAATTTTCATCTTTTCTGATAGATAGTATCTTGTCTAGTGTGAAGAATATTCATGAATTGTAAACTACACAATCAGAGAGAATTTTAAACGTTTAACCAGTTGATTACGTGGACACTGACGTATTGCACGTGAATGCAAATCATTTAGAGACTCGATTAGATTGGATGAATTACGTCATTTTGTCATAATTTATATGGGCCAGATAACTTTAGTATTTCGTTGACTTTAAGAGAATTAGTTACTTGTTGGTATTAGATGGTTGAAGGCAATCAGAAGGAAGCATTGCTTGACCTAGGTTTCGAGCTAGTTGGCACTCACCAGTCAGCAAGGCGTATTTGCAACCTCGAAGGAACTCATTTCCCTTCGGACATTTGAACCTGCGTCATCCAGTGCTGCAGCCAGAGACATTATCAGTGAGTTTTACGGGCTCGCAATTGACCCTCAAGGTAGCAGATACGTCTTGCTGACTGGTGAGTGCCAACTAGCACGAAAGCTAGGTCCAAGGCTTCCTGTGGCCAACTGCCTCTGACCACCTAATACCGACAATTCACAGTGCAGCGTGGTGGCGAGCCCCCTAGCCATTGCAAACATGACTGATAGAATTCAGTCTGCACCGAAGATAGGACCAGACACATTACACTAGTTACTGACTAGTGCTCAGACAAAAATTAGTTACTTTTTATAAATTTGGATAGTATTAAATTAGAATATGGAGATTATCCGGAAAATATGGTTCTGATATATTCGCGCCACCTACAGTTCGAACAATCTGATCCCTCAAACATTTACTTGTCAAATTAATTCATATTCAGTGATGCAAAGGCTTGAAAACATAATCCTACCAAAGGCCAAACCCAAAGTCTGGATACGTTACGTAGATGAAACATTTGTAATAATCAAAAGAGACGAGTTGGATAAAACTCACAACTTAATAAACAACATCTTCAATGACATCAAATTCACAAGAGAAGAGGAATCCGAGAACAAAATCCCATTTCTGGATATCTCAGTCAAGCAAACAACCACAGGGAAATTAGAAACTCAAGTTTATAGAAAATCAGCTCACACAAACCAAATACTGAATTACAACAGCAACAATCCAATGACACACAAGAGAATTTGTATACAAACACCATTCAAGAGGGCCAGGACTCATTACAGCACTCCCACCTTAGGGAAAATTGAAGAAAGATATCTCATGGACTTCTTCCAAAAGAATAGATATCCACTGAATTTCATCAAA